GTACTTTATAAACATTTCATTAATCTCAAACTGAAGGACAAATATTACTTTATGATGATTATTTTAAAAGATACTGTTTCTTGAGTACCAATATATACCATGTTAATCTAAAAACTTTATATATGTTCTCATTAAATCTTCACAACAGTTGTAGGAATTAGGTAATTCTCTTCCCTGTACAGATAAGAACACCAAGGCTATCTCATCTCCCACATCCAAAGTTAGGGCGTTGAAAAAAATTGGCCAAATTCACACTCCTAATAAAAAGCAGACTTGGGATTCAGCCCCAAGAGTCTGAGGCTCTGAGGTCCATGCTCTTCTCACTATTTGAATATATAGCTACATCTCTCAACAACTGTTAATGTTTCACACAGAAAAGTTGTTCAGAAGCAGTACTAGGTACTGTTCACCTCTATGAGTCTTAAGTCCTTCAAACAAGATGATTAACATGTCCAAACCTGGACTCAGTATCTTCTCATCCCACGACTGGAATTAATAGTGTATTCCCTACTCTAATTAACAGAAGGAGTTACTCTTCACCATCTGGATAGTAGTCAACCCAGGAACTCTGGTACTCCTGGTACACTCAGCAAGACTGTGTTTCTAAGACCATAAAACTTAGGAGTGATTTTTTTTTAATAGTAAATTCATCAACGAATGTCAAAATAAAGGACTCTTGGGAGACCAGCCAGTCAGCTTTTTCCTGGACTAAACCATCATTCATTTAAAGCAGCAACTTCTCTACATATACTATACTCTATATATATGCTTTATTATCTTGCAACAACTTGAGGTATGCAGGAGTATAGTAAAAATGCTAGCAAATTCAATTTCATGAGGGTGATCACTGCAATTCACTCACAGCAGAAGTCCTGCTCTTTTTTAAGACAAATTTCCTAAAACGTTTTCATTATAAAGTACCTTCTATCAATTATCTTGTGTTTTTGTAAACAGGTAAATATGCAATGCCTTTGAAAATTCTGTGACATTACATTTGTCTTCCATTTATGCATCAAATATGTACTAAGTTCATGTTAGATGCCAAGCACTGTACTTGGAGCAGGAGATGATGAGCAAAAAATTGGCACAATCACCGCTCTTCTGTGCTTAAACTTTAGAAGCAGATACACTTCAATAAAATTATCACACACCGTTATACAACTACATTTGTAACTCATTAGCAAGTAAAAACACATGGTAAAATAAAAGTATTTATGATAGGGGCATTTAAGCAGATAAGGAAAACTCAGAGAAAAGTGGTATTTGAGCTAACTTCTAAAAAAAGGGTAGTCAAAGACAGGCTAACACAGTCTGGACAAAGAAAATAGTACCAGAGGCGCTGTATCCATACTGTCTCCAGTTCTCCCATCCTTTTTAAATAAAATGCCCATCTGGCTTTTATACTCTTTCCTCCACCAAAACTGCTCTCAAGATTTTCAATGACCTCCACATTACCAAATGTAGTGGTCAGCTATCAATCCCTATCTCACTTGATCCAGGGCAGCACTTCACATACTTAGCATTGCCTCCTCCTTAACTGCCTTCACTTGGAGTTTAGGAAACCACACTCTGTGGCTGCTCCTGCATAGTGCCCTTTGCAGATAACTCCAACGCAACCCAAATTCTATGGAGTGCTTGTTTTTGTGACTATTCTTAGGCTGTAACTGCTGTTAAAACACTACTGTGAAATCCAATATTCTACCTACAACCAGATCTTTCACTTCATCTCGACACTCATTTATACAACTGCCTACTCTGTACTTCTACTTGAATAGCGTAGAGGCATCTCAAACTTTACTTGGTCAAACAAAACCCTTGATTCCCACTTCTTTACCTCTGTACACAAATCTGGAGACTTTCCCATGACATTAAATGGCAATTCCTTCCTTTTAGCTGCTCAGCTTAAAAACTCGGACTCATCTTTGCCTCTTATATTCTCACACCTCACAGCCAATCAGCAAAATCTGTTGGCTATACTATCATAACAGATCCAGACTATGATCTCTTCCCACTATCTTCACTGTTATCACCCTGGTCCAAGTTACCAATATCATCTCTTGCCTGGATTATTATTTCAGCTTCAAAACTAGTGTCTCTGCTTCTATACTTGTTTCCCGGTGGTCTATGCTCCACACAATTTCAAGAAGTAATCATTTTTTAAAAAGTCAGATCATGCAGTTCATCTGCTCAAAGCCCTCCAATGGCTTCCTATATGTTAAAAAGTCAAACTCCTTTCAATAACCTACATGACCTCCTTCCTCTGTGACTTCATGTTATCCTCCTCCCCTGCACTCATTGTGTTCCAGCCTACACTGCTATTTCTTTGCTCCTGCCCATAGGCCTTTGCACTGGCTGTTCTCTGCACAGAAATGTTCTTCCTCGAGGTATGTGCACAGCTTATTCCTCTTGCTTCAGATCCCTTTAGATGTCCCCTTCTTGATTATGTCTTCTCTGACTATCATATTTAAAAGTGAACCTTGCCCCCCACAGTCTGGCACTCCCTAGTCCCTTTCCTTGTTACTCCTATTTTTCTCCACTACATTTGCCTTCATTTGCCACATATACTATATATTTATTGTTGATCTCCCTTTAATAGAATGCAAGCTCTAGGAGAGTAGGGACTTTTGTACAGCTGTAAACTTGACCCTTGAACAACGTGGGGGTTAGGACTGCCAACCCCTCCCCAGCAAGTAAAAAATCCCATAACTTTTAATCTATATAACTTTTGACCACCCCCCCAAACTTTACTAACAGTCTACTGTTAATCAGAAGCCCTACTGATAACATTAACAGTTGATTAACACCCATTTTGTATATGTAGTATATATGGTATTCTTACAATAAAGTAAGCTAGAAAAAAGAAAATGTTATTATGAAAGCCATAAGGAAAATAGATTTGCAGTACTGTACTGTATTTACATAAAAAAATCCACTTTAAGTGGACCTGTGCAGTTCAAACCTGTTGTTCAAGAGTCAATGTATATTGTGCTCAATGACATATCTTCATTGTTCCAATGCACAGTAGATACTCAACAGGTATTTGTTGAGTGTGTGAATGGATGAAAGGGAACATGAGAACCAGTGACTGAAGAAAGATCTGTACAGCTGAAGCAGAGATAGGCAGAGAGTGGTAGGTATATGACGTGAGGCTGGAGAGGTAGAAAGGGACCAGATCACATTAGGCTTTACAAAGAAGTCTTGCCTTAAGAATAGTAAGACATCAGTGAATAATTTTAAGAGAAAATCTGGTCAGACTTGCATTTCAAAAAGATCATTATGGCTTCTGTGTGGAGAACTAAGGGAGAATGGCCAGTGTGAATGCTCACTATTGCAATGGTCTTAGCAAGAGATTATGGTATGTTGGAAAAAACTGCTTATGTAGGTGGTGGGAAAAGGATGGATTTGGAGGATATTTGGGAAATGATATTGATAGAGCTCAGTAATAATTGGCTAAAGAGATAGGAAGGACTGAAGAAATCTAGAATACTGTGTAGTTTTCAAATGTTCACAAGTGGATAGTAGGATCCTTAAATGAAATGGGGAACACTGGAAAAAAATCAGGTTCATTAGAGATAACCATGCATTTGGTTTTAGGCATGTTGAGCTCGAGATGCTTTTGAGAATTCCATAAAGAAATAAAAGGAAATAAATATATGAAAACTGGAAAGGTAAAGCTGTGTGGAGCTATAATTTAAAAGTCATAGGTGGTAGTGAAACCATGGGTATGGATGAGATCATAGTCAACTACATAGTAAAAAGAGGACCTAGATTTAAGAAATGGCCCTAGTCTTTGTGGGCTGGACAAAGGAGTATGAGGTTAAAAAAAAAAAAAAAAAAAAGACAAAAAACTAATGTCTTTTTTGTTCTGAATCACATTCATAAGAAGTTCATGTTAAAAAAAAAAGAACCTGATTTAAACCAGTAGCACTGAATGTACCAAGGCTACATTAGACTAATTACCAAAACTATAAATCTGTTCAAGGACAGGTCATTTTCAGAAACTACCTGGAAAATTCTCAGTACTTGTCTCTTACAACTTCAAATTATGTCAATACATAAATATTATCCTTCCCAAAATATATATGATTTGTTTTACTGCAATTTTCCTGAAAATATCTCATCTTTCTCGCTTTTGGGACTCACCACATGCTATTCTTTTGGCCCTCTTTCCCTGGTATAAAGATTTTCATGACTTTCCAAGATTAAGCTACCTCCTTTCTAGCCATTCTAGATAGTCAGATATGACATCGTACTGTAATTGTGTGGTTAGCCATTAGATTCTATAACTAGATAGAGGCTGTGTCTTTTTCACTGTTGTATACTCAGTACCTAACAAGGCTAAACTTGTAAAAACACATCTATTCTGCAATGTAGAGAATTAAGATCTAATGTGGTCCTCAGTCCATTGACTGCCTTTCACGTCTTTACTTTTCTCAAGAGGAATGACTTTTTAAAAACAGTCATTTTAAAACAAATGATTGAATCTTCTAAATATACTAAAAGTTGGATATCTTTATAGGTCTTTTTTCATAGAGCATCCTCAAAGCCTGCAAACATTCATTTCTAGGAATACTAGGGATTCTTTCCCCTTAGTCTCATACAAAATGGATTTGACAACTTGCTTTCAAAGCCCTGCCTGGGATTTCACTTGAGCGCATTTGAGCACATAACTCGCCTATACAATGGCAAACAAAAGTGCAACCGCACGGGGATACCAAAACCCTCGGCGCGAGTCCGCAGCAAGGCGCACTTGTGTTCACAGCACCCTTGTTGCCTGGCCTTGCGCCGCTCCCTCCGACCCTCGGGACTGCGACCGTTTCTCGTGCCCAACTTGCCCCGGCCTTGACACCCGGACTATTCCTTCCCACGCAGATTACTGGACAAAGTCCCCGGACTACGGAGGACAGCCCTAGATGGCTTCGTCTCCAAAATCCCCGAGGAAACGGAGGAAGGAAAAATCCTGTCAAAGGAAAAGTGGCAGGCAATTCTACAGTGCTCACCAAGTTGACGCTTTCAACCTCCCTTCGCGCAAACCGTTGATTCGAAGCCCGCTACCGGCAATGTCGCAGTGGCTCCTGGGGACTGTAGTTTCTATCGCCGACAGACTGTGTCGGCCGCATCAAAACTACATTTCCCAGAAGTCAATGCGAGGACGCCCTGTCTTCTGAAATCTCGGATTTGGCGTAATAGACCATCACTATTTTCAGGCTAATCTTAAACTTGTATTCATTTTCTTCCAGGTGTGAGTCTACAACCTCTGTCTTTGCCGTGCTTGTTTTGTGTGTAATAGTTTCAGTATACTTCAACGCCTCCTTACTTTTCTCCAGTCCAGAGAATCCAAACGTCAGGGCACGGAAAACGCCCCCGACGCAAAATGCTCCTTAAGCGCCTGCGCCCTGCTCGCCATCACGCATGCGTAGCAGCTGGCAGCAGTGGGAGGCCGCGCGCGGACTTGGGGTCTGGAGGTAGCCAGCGGGAGGGCGGGGCTTTTTCCAATGGCTTTGCCTCCGTGGGTCGCGTCTGCTTGGGCGGGGAAGAGGGCGCTGGGGCAGGGGCGGCTCCTGGTTTATACCGGGCGGAGAAAGGGGAGGGGCTGGGGGGGTGAGGACCCCATCTCCCCTCCCTGCTCCCGCCCTCTGGGCCGAGCCCCACCGATGGGGCTGGGCGAAGGGGCGGGCTTTGCACCTCCGGCCTCGCTGCTCTGCCAGCTCCGCCGCCCAGCCCAGCGTTTGGAGATTGCGGGCCAGCCCTTTGCCCTGCAGGCTTAGTGGGAGGTGGGCGAGGACGCAGGGATACGGAAAGAAGTGGCGTCAGCCCGGGAATCCAGAATCGTCGAGGCCTGAGACGCTTTCCTCCGATGCTGCAGCCAAGACAGCGCCCGCCGGAGGCTGCCGCCCCCAAGGAACGCCTGGGTCTCCGGCCGCGACGGCCAGTGAGCAAGGGTTTGGCGAGATTTCCCCACCAGCTCTTGGCCGGCCGCTGAGGCGAAGGGAGGGAGCTGCAGAGGGCGGGGATTGGTGCGGGAGGAGGGGCGGGGTGGGAATGCTCCTGAGAACCCGGTGGCCGCCCAGACAAAAAACCCCGAATGGCTGGAGCGCGTTCAACTGTTACCAGCCTTTTTGGGCAGAGCACGGATTTGACAGCTCCACAACGTGAGGATATCCGCTGACCCCGTGAGACGGAGGAGAGCACTTCCCTGAGACTGCCTGTCCAGCAAAACCAGCGCTGCAGGGGTTTCAACTTTCGAACTTTTTTCAGTCTCTTGACAAGACTTGCCCCTTCTTGTAGGAGAGGGGTGAGTTCTGTCTTGCAGATCGCCCCAAAGCCATCAATATAAAAGACACTTCTTGTTCCAAATGTCAGCCGGACATTTGTGTTTTCATGACGATTCGACTTCTCTGATTTTATTCGTACATTCCTCGTTTTAAAAATACGAAGTGCTCTTGGGGACATGCTGAAGAGTAACTGAAGACTGCAAAGAAAAATCTCCAGTTGTCATGGCTGAAGGAGAGAATGAAGTGAGGTGGGATGGACTGTGCAGTAGAGATTCAACTACTAGAGAGACAGCACTGGAAAACATTAGGCAAACCATTTTAAGAAAAACCGAGTATCTTCGTTCGGTGAAAGAGACGCCTATTCGTCCACCAGTCGGGCTCTCAAATGCTGTTTCTTTGGATGGGTTGAATAAGCTTCTTGCTCATCTGCTTATGCTTTCTAAGAGATGTCCCTTTAAAGATGTAAGAGAGAAAAGTGAGTTTATTTTGAAGAGCGTCCAGGTAAGAAAACATTTTAATTAACAACTGTCTATAGTGCAGTGCAGTTTTACTTGAAGTTATTCGCTTTGTATTTGCTTCTAAGAGGTAGTTAAGTGAACTCATTACGAATTCGTTCTACATCTTAAATTTAGAGTGGCTTGTAAAATATTGAATTTGGGACCAAAATTGTAGAAGATGAACTAGAGTAAAAGCAATTTTCAAATATAAGTAAATAAGTATTGTCTTTCTAGAGAGTTTTAGCAGAAGCTGCATTCCTCCTGGAAAAATATTAGAAAGTTACAGTTAGTTGCAAGTAAAGCCTTGCTTTTTCTTATATTCATTTTTACATGTTGTTAGAAGTACAGCCAGTGTACTTTTTACATCGTTACAAACAGTATTCTGTGTGGAAAGTTTCTCATTTAAAAGCTTCTAAAATGATAAATGTTTCTTAGCTTGTTCAAGATAAATGGTGAAACAATTTTCTGTTGTTCCTAAAAGCAAAACAAAAATATCAGGTTCTGTTTTCTAAAGGCAACCTTTCTTTTTTAAAAAAAAAAATGAATTACATAAAATAAAGCCTGTATTATAAAGAAGCTAGCATCTTCAGATTGAAAGTCGAACCCAGGTTGGGTGAATGGTAGAAACACTCTTGTGTTAAATTACTTAATTAGTTTTCTCTGTGTTTGCCTCAATTGCTTGATTTTTTTTCTTTTTCACATACATACCTATTTAAGTTTTGAGTGCAACAGATTAAAAATGTTTTCTTCCTGTTTGTACATAATCAATCTCTCCTGTTTTATTGGGAGATTTATTAGGAAGGGTTTGTTTGTTTTCAGTTTTGTTTAGAGAAAGGTTTTTAGATCCTAAGAATGGTCAGTGACACTATGTCTAAGTTACTCAACCGAAGTCATTTATGAGAAGTTCTTAAAATTTATCTTTTACTTGGGTATATGTGTAAGCTAAGATTAATAGTTTTTTCCATTTTGGCTAGTTTAAAGCAACAGAAAAATAATCATGTCCATAAAATGAAGACTCTGTTTAAAGTCTTGGGGTATTTTTTCTCACACACAGTTTGGGAACAATCATTACAATTCATTTATCCAAAGTTACCAAAGAGGAGTTAATTTTTTAGATTCCTGAAGTTACCCTTTCAAGCATCAAAAGTTATTTCTCTGTTTTTTAGACTGTAGTGTCTACAACAATCATATTTTTCATAATAGGGTCATCATTATGCACATCAAGTACTGTTGTATAGCTGAGGGTAGAGTATATAGGACTATATGATCCATGTTTTTTGAATTTTTGTGTTCAATTTTTAATAGTTTTCCTGTTCCCTCCCTTACTGTCAGTATACTTTGTTCTCTTCCTGAATCTTTGATTTTGCTGCTTATTTATATTCAAATGGGAAGCCAGATAACCAATTGAGTTAACAATTATATTAAAAACAAAAGTAATTAGGCTCCGGGGAGTGAAGGGTCAAAGGACTGTGATATATTGGTAAGTAAGTGAGTACTGGAGTCAGACCTGAGCTCAAATTCTCCTCCTTTATTAATGTACCGCATAACCTTGGACAAGTTAAGTTACTTGATCTCTCTTAGCTTGGATTTCCACATCTATAAAATGGGAATAGTAACATAGAGCTGTTGTGAGAATAAATGTGATGTAAAGTGCCCCAGTATATAACGGATGCTCCTCTTCTTTTTCATAAGTGAAAGACATGGATTATGTGATACATAATGAATTCAGGATTCATTCCTCCTGCAGAAAGATTCAAGAATCTCCTCTACAGTGAAGGTTTTCCATAGATTTATACTTTTCATCTCTGCATCTATTGCACTTAATTTCTGCTACTATTATAAAAGGCACTTATATTGTGCTGTAATCACATGTTTATGTGTCTGTCTCCTCGGAGGACTGTAAGTTCTCAAGAGTATTGGCTGGGACCTGAAAGCTACTAAGTAAATATCCAGTGGCTGAACAAATTTATATTTGGCTTCTTTTTTATTTCTTATCAGCCTGAATAAAGTCACCAGATTAGGTAGGGAGTTTCCATCCCATCATTCATTCATGCCTTCATTCAACAATTTTTTATTGAACCCATGGCAAATGCCATTCTAAGAACTAAGAACCAGTGGTAAACAACTTTGACATTCTACTGGAGAGAGACAGACCCTAAACAATAAACAAATAATGTAATTTTAGATAGAGAAGACTTCCCTGAAGAGATGACATTTAAGTAGAGATTTGATGAAAGAATAAATATAATCCAGGCAAAAATGAAATTTGTGAGGGGGACATTCCACACATAGGGAACAGTTCTGTGAGGCCCTCATGGCAAGAGAGAGCAGATGAGTCTAGGACCGGAAAGTAATACAATGTGGTTGGAGCATGTTTGAAGGGAGAGTGAAAGCTTAAGCATATCCTCTGTAGTCAGACCTGGCTCCAATACTTCATTAGCCTTACAATGTTGAATGCATTTCTCCTTGACTCAGTTTCCTTTCACAATGAGAATAAAATGAAATAATGCTTGCAAAACATAGCTCAGTGCATAGCACATAAGAAATGCTCAGTAATATTTGGAGTTCTTACTGTCCTTAGGCAGGAGTTGGATAACAGAGGATCTTGAAGGCCAAGTTAAGAGTTGGGGACTTTATCCTAGGAACCATGGGAAGCCACTGAAGAGTTTTGAGCAAGTTGGTGACATGGCCCATGGTGTTATTAGGATTACTTTGGAAACAATGCGGAGAACGAATTTCAGGGGTCAAGAGTGGATGTGTAGCATCAGTTAGGAGGTAATTCCACAAGTCCAAAGCAAAATCATGGTGGAGTGGGAAAAGTGAGCAGTGAATGGGTTTGGGAGATAGCTAAGAGTTAGAAACAGGAGATGGTACTGAATTGGATATAGGAGATGAGGAAAATAACAAAATAAAGGATGCTCTCAAGTTTCTCAAGTAACTACTTGGCTACTAGTTGAGTCATTTCCTGAGACACAAGGGTGATAAAGAGTCAGTTTAGGAGGAGCAGTGAGTTTTGTTTTAGACTTGTTGAGATTAAGTTGCCCGATACACCTGATTAGAAATAGCTCCTGAAGGGATTTCTGCCCCTGCTACTACTATTGTAGTTCTGCCATTGTTATCTGTCACTTCTCCAGCCTTAACCCATCCTCCACCTTTATATCCATGTTCCACATAACTGCAGAGTCATTTATCTAAAATGAAATCTGATCATGTTACTCTCCTGCCTAAATTCCTTGAGGATAGAATTTAAACTGCTTAAGAATGTCACATAATGTCCAGCATCATCTGGCTTCCACATACT